AGAGAGAGAGAGAGAGAGAGAGAGAGAGAGAGAGAGAGAGAGAGAGATCTAGTAGATTAACATAGCGAGGAGTAAGCGACACGAACATGGGTCTGCATCTGTTTTGGGAGCTTGGGAGAGAGAGAGCAAGGTTAGAGGCATAGCCCTCTGAGTGTTTGGCCTGCAGATGGTGGTGGAGCTGTGGTCTCTTTCCAGTCCAGAGGGAGCATACAGAATAACCACTGTAGGCCATGCAGTAAGCCTCGTTCATATACTCCCTTGGGAGCTGCTTTGAATTATTTACAGATAGAAATTCTGGTACATTAATGACCACATCATTAGCTCTAAACTTATATTTCTTTGCTGTTTTAGAGCAATGATGGTTGTATTTACTGATGGAAACAACCCAATATTTATAAATGTAAACGTTTATGCAACAGCTATTGGTAGCACTATTTCAAGCTTCTTGTTAGCAACAAATATCATTCCAGGCTTATCAGCCCCAACCACTCTGTGACCCACCAGGACTCCTAATCAGGACCCTAGATTTCTCTCTAGTCCTAGAGCTAAACTTGATGACCTAAAACTTAATTCATGATTTTATACAGTGTGCCAGAAGCAAGGGTGCAAATTATTGCAATTCAGATATTTTTTTCAAAACCACGGCTAGCCTTGAAACTTTTGACATTTTGCTTACTATATTTATGTAAAGCATTGTGCACAACAGAAAAATCTTTCTTCAAAAAATCATGATATAAGAAGACAGAAAATCTGGGCTTAAAAGCATTTTAGAAAAAATGAATTGAATTCAATCTTCAAAGGATACTTTTTTATTGTTGATTTATTTGCGGTGCTAGGGATTGAACCCAGGACCTCTGCCACTAAGCTAAACTCTTGGCCCAGAAGGTTACTTCTAAAATGTCTTATTCTTCCAACCATGAACATTTGAAATTTAGTTATTTAGTTATCTGAACCCAAGAGAATGGAAGAATAGATCTTTTCTCTTTGTGTTTACAGAAAGAAAATGGTTTAAGTGCTTTAGAGAATGTCACATGGAGTTTACTGGAAATAAATTATTTTGCAAAATTTCAGGAAAAATTTCTGTTTACTATGTTTGAGTTGGCAGATATTTCAGAGCATTCCTGCGGAAGAAGTGCCATTCTGGGCTGATGTGGTTCTGGGATTTCGAAAGATGACAGAGGCCGAGCTGAAGAAATTCCCTCAACATGTGTTTGGTCAGGCTTTTACAACCCTGAAATGTGAAACCTCTGCTTACCTCTCCTGGTTGGAGAAAAGGTGGGTTGAAATGGCTCTTGTAAGATTTCTTCCTTCCTCTGTCACAGCCATAAGTAAACTCATAGCTATCCAGCAAACATACATTGGAAATTCTCTGGGCCCTCTCGGACTCTTTTACATTGTGTCTTGCCACTCACCAATGTCTGGAGTTTTGTAAAACAGTCTGAAGACTGTGTTTCAGTCACAAGGACCAAGTTGTGCACACCATGCACACAGTAACTAATGTGTTTTATGGGGTTACAGCATGCACTGTGATGCTCATGCCCAATATGTCCCCTGTTCTTCTGACTCCCAGTAAAACCCACTTTACTGAAGTAGTATCTTAGTTTCCTGTGCTGTAAAATGGAGAAATTTGGAGACTACTTTTCAGTTATAAAGTAATATGATTTACTTTAGTTTTTTGGATGAGAATATCTTATGCTTATTAGAACTTATTTTTGAATTTTTCTCATTTGCAGTAAAAAAATAGGCTTCATTATTTTCTTTTGTTATGAGTAAAAACTCTAAAATTGAGGGTTTATCCAATTATGTAATTGCTTACTGACTAAGTTCAGCCCGTAATACCTTGAACTTGCATTTTGGCCTGGTTTTCAGGAGTTCTTGTTTCCAGTTAGAAAATACATCAAGGATGTATTTTTTTAAAAATACATTAATAAATCTCTTTTTCATTCATTCTGAAAATTACAGACACATTAATTGTTGTGAAAAATAGGTTCTTTTGGTTCCCAAGTCTGTGTACAGGTTGAATATCCCTTATCTGAAATTTTGGGGGCCAGAAGCATTTTGAATTTTGGATTTTTTTTTCTGGATTTTGGAATGTGTACATGCCTGGCATTTGGCCAGACCAGATGGCCAACGTGGTGGAGGAAGAAGGCTACATGTCCCATTTGCTCCCAGGGGAGCCTTTGCAGGGAAGGGACTCTCAGGCCAAGATAAGCATTTTATGGTGAGGATTTTAGCCTGGGAGGCAGGGCAGGTGGTGGTGAGGGGGTGGGCGCCTGGGGCTCACTCTGTGGGCTGCCACCCACATGCCTCCCGGGGGCAGACCCAGATGGGCAGCCACACAATCCCTGCCTATTCTTCACACTCAGAGTGTATTTTGTTGCCTCCTACGCCTCTTCCACACAATGTAAGTGCTTAGCTTTCAGTGTTCTAACTCAAAAATGAGCATTTCACTTGGCAAGCCCTACAGCAACGGTTTCTACCTCAGCACCATCCTCCTGAAATTACATCTGCTCCCAGGAAACGTATATTATTTTATTACTACTTAGATATTGAGTGTTTTTCAAAGAACAGAAGAGATCATCGGCTGCTCAAACAATGCCCTTTAATTTCCAGAACAAACCAACAAACAAAATATCCTCAGAGGTTTAGTCCTCCATGCAGGTCATATTTTATATCTTTGGACAGTGGCATTCAATTCTGCTGTTTTTTACTTGCTCTGTCCAGGAAATGAATCATAGCAGCAGTAAGTCTTCCACTAGGCAGCCAACCTAAATCAATTATCCTGCAAGGACCAGAGTCATCCTGCCTTTGATGACAACCAGAAATCAGGGTGGCCCTTTCCTGGGAGCTTGCCACTTGGCAGGCTGCCTTCTAAGGCCTGTGCTGACCACAGCACTGACCAGGCTGAACTCCCCCACACCTCCCTCCTACTCTCTGATAAGGCCTCTCTCTGGGAGGATGCTCTGTCTCCCATCTTTTTCTTCTGTACTCTGTGCTCTCCCATCCACCCTGATTCCTGTGACTTCCTCCACAGCTATATAGACGTATGTACCTGTACTGTACATCAGCACTGAGATAGGTTGTGCCAGTCTTGCACATCTGACTAGCAAAAGTCTCTTTCAGTGCATATCACCTGTTTTCCTCCTGCTCAATATAAACCAGGTGGTCAGAGCACAGCCTATTCCAGTGCCCCTATGCATTTTTCCCCCTAGGAATTTCCTTCCTCTTCTCCCCGTCTCCTCTGCCCCCTCTCCCCCACTATCCCTGAGTGGAATTGGAGGCAAAAGGCCCCAGACACAGGGTGGAACCGGAGCAGTCCCCTTTGTCCCTGATTAGCTAAGGCTGGGTTGAGAGGGCATTATGCAAGAAGGTGGAAAAAAGATAATGCTTATTTTTTTCTCATGATGGCCATGAGGTTCCTAGGGAATGGATGGAGGCTGTGTGAGGTGCAGTAACCCTTGGGCCTTCCACTAGGGCTTAGGTAGCTAACCCAACCTATGCAGCTGCAGAGGTGAATTTCTTCCCACAGCCTCACCAGCTAGATGGACCAGGGGGTGCATGGCCACTCCCCTCTAGGACCAACCTGGCTGTAAAAGCCCTGGTCTCAGTCATGTTCCCTTCCTTGAAGGCGCTAGAGGTTGTTCTGTGCCTGAATGGGATTTCAAAGTGTTTAATATGAGTGCAGAGTTGACAAGGCCAGGGTGTGTATTCAGAGAAGTGTGAAATTAAATACGATTTATTTTGTTGGAGAAGTCATAGCAGAGGACCAGTGAAGACTATGGTCATTAGATGAGGTAAGCTGGTCAGGTCAAAATGACACCATGCACATTTAGTTGCACTGGGAAATTAAAAAACATTTTAAAACTCTAACTACGGTAAGTTATCTTGAGCATAGCTACATTAAGTGTTGCCTTAAAGAAACAGGGTCTGTTTCCTCTGTAAGTCTATATGCATAGTATTGTTTGCAAACTGAGATCTTAAATTAGTTTTCTTGGTTTTGGACCAATAGACTTAGACTTAACATTTTTAATCTTCTGATCACTATTCATAAGGTGTTATTCTTTAGGTGGAAAGCAAGGAATAATTTTAAAAATTCACTACATCTAATTATACATGTCCAATGCATGCCACCTGGCTACATTTAATACAGTTGTCACATGTCACTGATTCACAGTCAGCCCTGCCCTTCCCATCCTCCATCTAGGTCCTTGATCCTGGTACCAGCCATCTTTGCATTTTTCTGTGTCTTCAGCAGTGGCTTCCAAGTCCCTCAGTGGTTCTCACCTCCCCTCTGCAACCCATCTTCACACAGTGACTTGAAACCTTGCTCTTTTTCTCATTTCAACTAACTTGAGGATCTAGAGGCACCTTGGTAGGGGCTAGTCCTTCCTGGGGTCAGAGTGGAGCTGGCTTCACGTGCTATTGGAGAGGAATGTCTCTCTCCAGCTCTAAAGCCCTGGCTCCAAGCAGTCCTGCTGGGGCCTCACCAGTTCTCTAAGCACTGGAGCCCTCAACCTCTAAGGGAGGATGCTGAGTGGGCCTGGGAGGCCAGCGGGGGAAGGGCATGATGCCACCTTCCTTCCTCCTGGGCTGAGCCACATGGCAGAGTTTTCCAAGCCTTTGGTCTCCAGAGGAGCAAACTTCTCTCCCCAACTTGGGCTTAGATCCAAAGGAGGAACTTTTTACTTTATATTTGCATAAGCCTGAGGCCTATGTGGATAATATTCTCAAAACCGGGTGCAGTCTGTCTCAAAGTAGAGTTAAAATATCTACCTTTGGCCAAATTAGAAGCCATTCAGAAATCTTAAGTGACAAAACCAATTTTTGTCCACTTTCTATTCATTTAGTTACAAAACAATTGGGTTCTAAGTTTCAGCCAGTGGGTCCTAGCCTGTGCATTCCAGGTCACTGTGTTGTCTCTGCTGGTTTAGCTCTGCCTAGGCTGTGACTCCTGGTCCCCACTGTCCTCAAGGCTGCCTCTACAGCAGAGCCCCACCTCCTGCTTAGTGCCCCCCCCCCCACCCGTTCCCTTGTCATCATAACAAGGAATGGAAGGTGGAAGGTGGGGATTGCCTCTAGTTCCAATAGTACAGAGAGGATGGAGGTGGGAGGTGGGAGGTGGGGGAAGGGAGGTAGAAGTACTGAGCAAGCCCATCATGGTCAGCCATACCCAACACAGTCTCCCGCTTTTCTGAAACTTTCAGAGAGTGAAGGGAAGAGTCCTTGCCTGTCACCTCCCATATCATGATCAGGCTGATGCTATGCTGACTGTTAGGCTTGGCAAAAACGTGCACTTTTATGTTTGAGGGTAAAGACCAAAGGACATTGGGTTGGGGCTATTTAGCAAGCTGAGCTCCTATTTCCTTGTGGGAGGTTGGGACAATAGTATTCCTTCTTTCTCTAGGATAAGATCTTGCTTAGTTGCAGGACACCCCAAGAGGAAAGTCATCTAGTTTCTTATACCCCCAACCATGTCATATCAAATAACTACCTCACCTGGTCATGGAAGTCACTTTTTAGATACCTGGTCAGCTAAGTCAGCATTGAGCTTCAAAGATGGTTTCCTCCTATGTACTGGTGGGATGTGTAATTATGACTGGTCATTGCTGGGTGGTCACTTTGCAACCGTGTAAAGATGACCAGTCTCTATGCATATTCAGGAGGTTTCCTGAGATACAAGGAGGGGACTCCGCACATAAAGCTTGACAGGGCCTTCCAATAGCCCATCCATCTGACCATACAGGGAATCTCCAGTTAGGGACTGGTCTTTCATCAGCAGCTTCCTGCAGGGGACTATTGAAATAGAAGAGAAAGACATTTGCATTTGTTGAATTCTTATATAACATATCAACTCTGTGAACAATGTACTCTTACCCCTAGTTTATCGCTAAGAAAACAAATCCAGTGACTTTAAGAAATTTGCTTCAGTCTCAAGACTGATAAGGTCTCTTATTTCCCGAAATTAGGATAATAATTCTGAATTCTAACCAGGGTGACTGGAGCACAGAACATCGTGTCCAAACATTAACACATGGAACCTATAATCTATTAAAATAAGAGCAAAACTAAGATAACATTTAAAAAGTGATCAGATGATGATTCAGATAACATTCAAATAATGATAAAACTTTTTTTTTAATGTGATGCCATAATTAAACCTAAATGCTGTATAGTTGCGAAGGGCCAATATCCTCAAAGATGGCACAGCAGGTCCTATATTTTACAGTGGCAAAACAAAGCCCTAAGCCCTTTATTTTTCTTATAAAAAAATCTTTATTGAACAACTGCAATGTGTTGAGCATTGTGTCAGGCCTTCACCAGATGGTGTCTCATTTAATTTTCACAATGAGCCTCTGAAGTATTATTATTCCCACATTATGGGGGAAGGATTACAGTTTAGAGAATTTGATAAGCTAAAGGGTAGAGCTCCTCCACACTCTTCCTTAAAGATTTTTCTTGGTATTTGCTTTATAAAGACTTATAAACACATGGCAATGTGTTGCTCAGTATCGTCACAAAAATCCCAGTTTAATTTTCTTTCTATCTTATTGATAGAGGTGAAAAGCTTTACAGAGTGACTTCACCTTTGAAAATACTCACGTCTCATTAAACACTTAAAAAACAATCGAAGCCCCCAAACTGTTCCACTGAGATAACTAAAAACTTGTGCCCATAAAATTTGCTGCATTAAATACTTTTTATCTATGAGATTTTTTTTTTTACTAAAACAATATAAAACTAAACTAAAAACTAAAAGATTTTTAAAAGTCCTGGACTCATTCTCTCACTTTTAACCACTTTAGTCACATCAAAGGTTTTATTCGTTCTCTGTGGCTGTGAAGTGTGGGTTTTGGCCAGATTCTTTCCTTTGGCTTTCTCAGATGGCTTTCTCAGGTTAAGGACATACTGTGTCACAGATTTTTCAGAATAACAAATGAGGATGCATAGGGTAAAAATGCCAGTGACTAGAACTGGAGTGCTCTGTAAATATTTGTTGAATAATAAACAAACCTAATCCAGAGTTTTCAAATGGTTCCGTGGAGACACTTCAGTGGTCTCTGTGAGGGAGGGAGTGTGGGGACCGAGGGGATGGAGACAGGTCTCTGCAGATAAGTTGGAACCCACTGACATAAGATGCTGTTTTACAGATTAGGAAGCTGAGCTGTTGGGGTCAGGGTCTGTGGGGCACTTGTGCAGCAATGTGCCACCCTCATCAATTTGCCGCATTTTCTGGAAACGGGAACCAGTGTCAGAGGGCCAATTTTCTACAGATCTTGGTACAAGTTTCAGCTGAACTTTCCAACCAGGAGGTGGGGACAGAACACTAGACTTTTAAAGAGTCCCTTCTGGCTCAGTTAAAACCAGTGGCCAAATGATGCCATGATTCACCATGGTTTCACCCACATCTTCTTTGTGCTCTGGAAGTCTCTGTCTTTTCTTATGCTGTCCATCTCATGAAACCTGTTTATCTGACTTTGAAGGCAGAAATGCCGGCATGGCCACTTCTGCTCTCTCAGGAGCAGGAGGAGAGAATAAGCACTGGCCCTTCGTTGCTGGTGGCATCTCTTTTCAGATTCTCCCTGGAATGTGCTGGAATTGTAGCAGTTGTAGAGAGAGGATGCCTTTGTGGTACCCTATCACCTTGTATTTGTTAGGATTCTCCAGTGAAAGAGAACCAATGGGGAGGTGTGTGTGTGTGTGTGTGTGTGTGTGTGTGTGTGTGTGTGTTTAGAACTTTCTTCTGCCAGTTATTTACACTGTCAGCCTTTGAGGAAGGACACCGTGCCTCACCCGCCTTTTGTCCCTCTTAGCATTGCCTCGCTTCTAGATATTCAACCTGAATCTGTTGAACAGAACTGCTGAGTCTTTTATATTAAATCTTCTATATTCTACAAGTGACCTATGAATAAGATTATAGGATTATGAGGGATTAAGATTAAGATGACAAGATTATAGGGAGTTATTGCTTAATGGCTACAGAGTTTCCGTTCTGCAGAGTGAACAGAGTTCTGTTATGGATGGTGGTGGTAGGAGCACAGCAAGGTGCATGTGCTTAATGCCACTGAATTGTGCACTTAAAAATGGTCAATTTTATGTTCTATGTATGTTACCACAATTTAAAAATTATCATTAGAACCTAGATAAACCATTTCTTTTCATTATTGATATGATTGCTCAAAAAAATTACTGACCACAATTGTAATTAAGTCCATCAGCTGCAAATTTTTTGTGTTCCTCTTGTGCTGACATCCCTGTAGGCATAAAAGTGGAGAGGAGAGAGTATATGTGACCCCAGGACCAACCATGTAATGAAGGAGGACAGACTGATACCAAGGGACATGCAAGGGTTAACAATATGAGATATAATGTTTAAGACAGTAAATTTAGGCATTAGAGCAGATTATGCTAAGTGAAGCTAGCCAATCCCTAAAAAACAAATGCCAAATGTCTTCTTTGATATAAGGAGAGTAACTAAGAACAGAGTAGGGACGAAGAGCATGAGAAGAAGATTAACATTAAACTGGGATGAGAGGTGGGAGGGAAAGGGAGAGAGAAGGGAAATTGCATGGAAATGGAAGGAGACCCTCATTGGTATACAAAATTACATACAAGAGGAAGTGAGGGGAAAGGGTAAAAAAAAAACAAAGGAGAGAAATGAATTACAGTAGATGGGGTAGAGAGAGAAGATGGGAGGGGAGGGGAGGGGAGGGGGATAGTAGAGGATAGGAAAGGCAGCAGAATACAACATACACTACTAGTATGGCAGTATGTAAAAACATGGATGTGTAACCGATGTGATTCTGCATCTGTATACGGGGTAAAAATGAGAGTTCATAACCCACTTGAATCAAATGTATGAAATATGATATGTCAAGAACTATGTAATGTTTTGAACAACTAATAATAAAAAAAGACAGTAAATTTAGGTGTTAAATGAATGGTATAAACAACAAATGGGTATGTAAAATACCAGATCAGCTTGGTATTTATTTTGCATCTGGAATGACATAGGAACTCTACAAAATATAAAAATGGCAAGGCACATCATTTCCTTTGTTGTGCTTTTGTGTGGTGTGTGTGTGTGTGTGTGTGTGTGTGTGTGTGTGTGTGTGTAGGGTGCTGGGGATTGAACCCAGGGCCTTGTGCATGTCAGGCAAGCACTCTATCAACTAAACTACATCTCCAACCCTGTGGTGCATTCTTTGAAATAGGTTTTCACTTAAAAAAAAAAAAACCTTGGGAATCCCTGGTTTCCAAGATGCAACGCATCTCTCTGTGGATGGCTAAAAATTGAAGTTGTTGTGTTTGTCCATCAGATCACCACATCTCTTTTGTTCCTGTGTCTCTGTCCACTTCCTGGAAGTGATTGAGCAGGGTGGCTGCTGAGGCTCACTCCATGGTCTCTTCTCCCTAGGATAAAAGAAAGTGGAGGCCTGCTACTCACCAGATGCCTGGGAAACCTGTGGGAGCTTCAGCCGTCCTTTGACATCGTGGTCAACTGCACAGGCCTGGGAAGCCGACAGCTTGCAGGAGACCCAACGATTTCCCCTGTAAGGGGCCAAGTGCTCCAAGTTCAGGCCCCCTGGGTGAAGCATTTTATCCGAGATGGGAGTGGGCTGACATATATTTACCCTGGTGCCTCCCATGTAACCCTGGGTGGAACTAGGCAGAAAGGAGACTGGAATTTGTCCCCAGATGCACAGATTAGCAGAGATATTTTTTCCCGGTGTTGTGTGCTGGAGCCCTCCCTCCACAGAGCCTGTATCACAAAGGAGAAGGTGGGCTTGAGGCCCGTCAGGCCAGGCGTGCGGCTGCAGAAAGAGCTCCTAGCCCACGGGGGACAGAGGTTGCCTGTGGTCCACCACTATGGCCACGGGAGTGGGGGCATCTCAGTGCACTGGGGTTCTGCTATGGAGGCCGCCAGACTGGTCAGCGAGTGTGTCCAGGCCCGCAGGACCCCGTCTCCTACATCAAAGCTATAGATGACATGAAAAGACAGCAAATAACCCCAGAGACTATTGATCAAAGCACAATTTAAGCTCCAGAACAGGTTCAAATAACTTTTCCATTTCATGAAAGCTTAATTAGACAGTCTTTGTTTTCAAAATTAGAAAAGATGCAGCATGTATCCATACACTTAGGAAGTCTAGTGCTAACAACACAGGGCACAGAACTATTTCAGTTTTTTTAAAAAAAATACTTGTTTTGTAGGCTAAGATCATTTTGGGATCTAATATTCAAGGATCTATACTAATTTATATGAAAGCCAGAAGTTGCAGGTATTTTGATATCTTTTGGCTCATAAATCCACAAGAGGAGATAATGTACGGAAAAAAGTCCTTGTCGATTGCAGAGTTGCTCACGATCCTCCAAGGTTATAGCCAAGTGAACATTATAATTCCTCTAAATAAAATGACATGGTGATCATCCGCTGCAGACTTGGTACATTTTACTGAAGACAAAGCATGATTTCTTGTTAGGACTTGGCAACCTCTCCTTCCCCTCTGCTGGTAATGGTGGTGGAAGACAGATGAGGTTGCCTATGGATGTGGCATCAATTCCGTAGCTGCCTGGGGCCCATCACCCAAGGGTTGTGTGCTTCATTACCACACATGATTGGCAGCCAGCCTGAATGGTTCACTTTGCCTCAGCATTTTTGAATATTGAATGATATATGCATCCAAAGAGCTAATTTGCTAATTGAGATAGACTAATCATTCTGAATGAAATAAAGCCCCAAAGTATTTTTCAGTCTTTAAAAAGTAAGGAGGAAGAGGGGAATATGTGTCATAAAATGAGTTTTGGAATTTCTGAGTTAAATAAATTTAACCTGGCTTTTGGACTCAGGTATATTCAGATCCTTTAATGTGTCTGTGTGTATTATGAATCTTCAGGAGGATTTTTGGCTTGGGTGGATGGAAAAGAAGGTGCTAGTCATCAAGGTGAGGAAGATTAAGAAGAAGAAATAAATTTTCTTTTAACTTTGGGGGCAATGTCTTATATTAAGTGATAATAAATTCTATTTTAGATATCCTGGGGGAGACATGGAGTTGGCCATGAGAATGTGGGAAAGAGAAAGCTCCAAGCATTTTTCCGATTTGACTTTCTTTGCTCATTGAGCTTTTGCATCTGACTTTGTTTGAAAAGAACATTTTGCTGGAGGCGCAGAGGTGCCCATGTATTCAATAATCTATTTTTTTCCTTAATTTTATTTTCAGCAAGGTCATTAGTGGCATATAGAAATTGTACTAAGTTTTTGTAAGTTGATTTTGTACCCTATAGATTAATAAATTCATTTATTAGTTTTAACTGTTTTGGTAAGTTGTTTTGCGTTTTCTGCATATAATAGGCCATGGATAAGCAGGGATAATTTAACTCTTTTATTTCCCATTTGGATACCTTGTATTATATTTATGAGTTATTCCCCAAAAGTTCATGTGTGAGACAATGAAGAATATGCAGAAGTGAAATGATTAGAATATGAAAGCTGTAACATACTTGGTGGATTAACCCACTCATAGGGATTAACTAGGTGGTAACTGTAGGCTGGGAGGGTGTGATTGGAGGAATATTCAACATCTCAAGCAAAATAACAAATAACCCTGTCAATAAATGGGCCAAGGAACTGAACAGGCACTTCTCAGGAGGTGATATACAATCAATCACCAAATATGAAAAAATGTTCAACATCTCTAGCTATTAGAGAAATGCAAATCAAAACTACTCTATGATTTCATCTCATTCCAGTCAGAATGGTAGCTATCATGAAGACAAACAACAATAAGTGGTGGCCAGGAGGTGGGGAAAAGGCACACTCATGCATTGCTGCAAATTGGTGCAGCCAATATGGAAAGCGGTATGGAGATTCCTTGGAAATCTGGGAATGGAACCATCATTTGACCCAGCTATCCCTCTCCTTGGTCTATACTCAAAAGACTTAAAAAACAGCATACTATAGGGACACAGCCACATCAATGTTTATAGCAGTACAATTCACAATAGTTAAACTGTGGAACCAACCTATATGCCCTTTAGTAGATGAATGGATAAAGAAAATGTGGTATATATACACAATGGAATATTATTCAGCATTAAAAGAGAATAAAATCATGGCATTTGCAGGTAAATGGATGAAGCTGTTGAATATAATGCTAAGTGAAATTAGCCAATACCCAAAACAAACAAACAAACAAATGCTGAATGCTTTCTCTGATTTAAGGATGCTGATTCATAATATGCTGGGGGGATGGGTGGGAGGATTAAATGAACTCTAGATAGGGCAAAGGGGAAAAGGGGAGGGAGGGGAAGAGAGGGGGTATGGGGGAGGAAAGATGGTGGAATGTGATGGTCATCATTACTCTAAGTACATGTAAGGAGACACGAAGGATGTGACTCTATTTTGTGTACAACCAGAGATATGAAAAACAGCGCTCTATATGTGTAATATGAATTGTAACGCATTCTGTTGTCAGTAATCTTTTTTAAAATTTTCCAATCAAATATGAGAACTTTTCTATAGATGTCCACCAGGGGGTGGTGTTGCATTAAGTTCAGATAAACTGGTACATAGGAAATTTTATAAACAACTAGAAATAAAAAATAGATACAAAGTGTGGGGAGTGTATGTGCAACTTTTTGATGTTTTAGAGTTTATACAGTCAAAATTAGATTATTCTGTTTAAACTATGTGGGAAATCTCTGAGTTTTCATAGATTGAAAACGTGTACATATCATGTATGATAAGCGAAAAATAATGTTATAGTAAATTGGCATCTTAAAGGAGGCTTTTTTTTTTTATTAATGCTTAAAAATAAAAATAAAAGCTACTGCTCAGGAGAGGTAGCACCTCAGCTGATACATAGCAGTTTTAGAACTGCTCATTTGTTCCTCCTGCTGGAGGTTTCAATGCTGCAGCATTCTCCTTGGGTGAAGGCAGGGACACAAGCTGTGACCTTTGCCTGTTTGCTCCTCTGGATTAGCTTCAGTCTGCATTTCATATTTCTAAAGCTCAACATCACAAGACTGAAAGATGGGAGGCTTCCTGGCTGCATGCCCTGATTTCATTCTCACTAATTGCTAAACATTTGCTTCAAGTGTCTCTCAAAGGTTATTCATTTTGATCATTAGCTGTCAATTTGGGATGCACCTTAGAATCACCTGGGAAGTTTGAAGGGATGCTGACGCCCAACCCTGCTTTATTAAATCAGCATCTTTTTGTGTGTTGGGGGAGCTGCAGCTGCTGTATTTGTTCAGAGCTGTCCACGGGGCTCTGACAGCCTGGGTGAGAACCACTGAGCACCGCTTTCCCCCCTTCTCACAGAGCTCCATTGCTCTGCTCTCCTTCCTTCCTCGCCATCTGGGCACATTGAGCTAAGAGAGATGTTCTCGCTTAAGCAGGTGCGTCCTTTGACACTCAGGCAAGGTGGCGTATAGGAATGAGCTGTCTCCTAAAGTGGCTCTCTAGAAATGGTGGGGATCACCTTGATGGCTATAGATCAGCTGCCCAGAGACAGCTGTCTGTCTGTCTGAAAGGTGAGAGACTGATTATACAAACAGAAAACGCTACCCTATGTATAAAAATAGAGATCTAACCACAGCTTGCAGCATTCTGCCCAGGAAACCCATCCCCTTACCTACAGTAAACAATACAGGAAGTCAGACTTGTAGGAAGCTGAATTGCTGTCTCTAGCAACGATTCAGAAAGCTAAACAATAACTTATGTAATGATTGGCACCACATGGCCAGAACATGATTAATATCCAATAACTTCCCTAACTTTTGTCCACGTAGGACCAACCAGAGAGAGCAAAATATGCACCTCTTGTTGGAATGCCCTGCCTACAGCTTCCCCATGCCAGAAATTTCCCATCAGAACATTTTAGAAGCCATCTCTCTTTTCTCCTATAAAACTGTCCCACTCCTCCGCCTGTCTTCAAGTTGCTGCCAAATGCAAGCAATGTGGCTAATGGCCCTGCTATATCGGGCTCTAAACAAATAGGCTTTGCTTTTCTAATTTGGCTCGTGTTTTAGTCATGGTTCTCCAGAGAAACAAAACTAATAGGATATAGGAGGTATATATATATATAACAAGATTTATCATGAGTGTTGGCTTACATGATGACGGAGGCCAAGGAGTCGGTGATCTACCAACTACAAGATGGAGGTTGAGGAGAGCCAGGGTATGCCTCTAGTCCAACCCTGCAGGCCCAAGAGCCAGGGGTGTAAGTTCCAGTGTGAGTGCAAAGGTCAAGGATGTCTGGGGAGAGAGGCAATAGATACCCCAGGTCAAGCAGAGAGCAAATCTGCCCTACCTCACCTTTTTGTTCCATTCAGGCCTTCATAGATTAGCTGTTGTCCCCCACATTGATGAGGACAATCTTCTGTACCCGGTCTACTTATCTCTTTTAGAGACATCCTCACAGACACACCCAGAAATAACATGTCAGCAGCTATCTGGGCACCCCTTAGCCCAGTCAAGTTGATACATAAAATTAGCCATCACACCTAGTTTTCCACAAAGATTCCATGTTTACTTAACTCAAGGTCTTCCTTGGTGATCTATGCTACTGCCCAAGAATGGGGTGCTTTAAAAATATTCTTTCCTATTTTCTATTTCAGAACATCTTTTATTTTTTCTTGAACATGGAAAACAACTGATCTCCTTCTTAAACCCCCGCTTTCAAGTGTGTGGTCTCTGTGGTTAAGTTTGCTCCTGCTGCGCTTGTGATGCGGGGGAAGAGTCTGCTTTGAGGCACTGTCATTGCCAGCATGGTGCTTCTTCAGCAGACAAAGGCTATGCACAGATTTTTAGGATTTCCCCCCCCCCCCCTTGGGAAGAAAAGAAGCTGAACAGAAAGGCCATAGCACAGTTGGACATGGTCATTCAGAAGAAAAGCTATTTTTAAAAATGACACATATTCTTCCTCGAAATGCAATAGATGCATTCAAATCAACTGATATTTGAACCAATTTTTCTCCATCAACGAAGAACTTTTACAGAGAGGGAAGAAAAGGACAGTGGGACCCACATCTGCTGGAAGTTGTAGTTCCAGAACTCTCACAACTTGTCAAATATTTGAAATGAGCAGAGCCCTGATGATTTTTTTT